TAACAGTATATACCAACTAAAAAGAACGTACAAGTGCAGTATATAAATAAATTATTCAGAGGACAAAAAATATAATGTGTATATATATGTTATGATACTGTTATTGGAACAAATAAACTTTATCTTTTTGAAAATTGTGATTGGCTAAATAAAACATTTGGATTACGTTTGGGGTTGTCTTCAAGGTAGAGAATGTCTTTTAAGTTTTTACTCAGAACAAATTCCAATTTTTGCAATTCTCATTTGTTAACATAAAGATGTCAACTTTTAAAAGTTTTAATGACTAATGATGTAGAAGTTCACCATATAGTAACTATAAAGTAGATTTGACCCATATTTCATAAGATATATTTACATGCCTTTGAAGATATGGGAGGAAGATACTAATTCTTGAGTCTTAATTACAAATTAAATTTTCATTTTATGTTTTCTAATTTCTATACAGTACGAATTGTTTAATTTCCTAAGAGTATTATGTTCTCACCAGAACTAAATTGCAGACCCATTCATCTACACTACAACAATCTGAAAAGTAACTTCAGCACCTGGTCCACCAGGACTCAGGGCAGTCCATCCTGGGACTCTTAATTGGTTAATTCCAGAAACAAGCTGACTGGAACTTGTGGCAGGATTAGCAGGTTCACAGGACAAGTAGAGGGGATCCAAGGGCCTCCTTGGGAGAGCACATGAGACTGAGTCTTTGCTGGAAAAGTATCTGTCCAGAATCTATCCTGTTACAGTTTGGGAGTAGTAATGGGAGGATTAATCCAGAATTTTGGGCAGAGATGCTTAAATTTAATATAGATCAGAAAGTTCTTAGAAATGGACTCTTGGGTCCCAGCCTACTAAGTTCTAGGTCTGGAATGTGACTTGGGATGTTGTCTTCTTTTACAAACTTTTTAGAGAATTTTGAGGCAGGAAGGCAATAGGAAAACTAAGGCCCAGTCTTGTACTTACAATTATTATACCTCCCCTCAGTACATTTAAGTCTTGGCTCAAATGACATCTGCCCAGAAGCCTTTCCTAAAAAAATCTTGCTAAAATAGATCTTTAATTATAATCTATGAACTTAGTAGGCTTTGTATTTCTTCCTAGCACTTATCTTGGGGTTTGAACTTAGGGCCTATATCCACCAGCCCTTTTTTTTTTTTTTTTGTGGTACTGGGGTTTGAACTCAGTGCCTTGTGCTTGTTAGGCCTAGCACTTATCTGAACTGAGCTCTACTTTATATTTAACTCAAGTCTCCTTCATGCTCTACCATCACTTTACCTGCTTTGTTCATTGATTTGTACCCAGTGTCTATAGCACTGCCTGGCATAGTTTAGAAACTCAAAAAATTTTAGGGATGAATTACTTAACAGAGTTGTGATTGAATTCTGCCACACACTATAAATGACCATATTTATTTTTGCTATAAAGAGGGCCCACCATTTATAAGGTGGATCAAATATCCTTAATAGATAAAAGAGAAATAACTGCAGAGAGAAGAAAGAACAGAGCTCAGTTCCTAGGAAAACTTAAGAATGCTTTGGCCAGTAGACCTGCTCAAAAAGAATTGATAAAGGAAGCGAGGTGTGGTGGCACAGGCGTTATTCCAGTATTCAGGAGGCTGAGGAAGGAGGATTACAAGTGTGAGGCCAACCTGGGCTACACAGACCCTGTCTCAAAACAGAGAATTGATAAAAGAAGTGCTGATAGATGAAAAGGAACTAATGGAAGGAAACAAAATATCAGAAATGAAGAAAAAACAACAAAGAGTTATATATATGTAGATAAATATACACATATATATATGCTTTTGAGTTTTTCAAACTTTGATAATTGGAAGCAAAAATTAGATATTGTACAGGGTTCTTGGCAGAGATGTTGAGCATCATTTGGCATCAGGGAAACATAAGTTAAGGCCAAGACTGTGTACCACCACACAATAGGAAGGCCATAATAAACTGTGCCAAGTGCTAAAAATGGCATAGAACAAAAGAAGTGCTCTCATGGCTCGTGGAGATACAGATTACAGCCCCTACTGAAGCAACTTGACAGTTCCTTATAAACACAAACTTACCACAAGAATCAGAAATTGTTCTCTGTGGTGTTTACCCGAGAAACCAAAACTTATGTTTATAGAAAATTAGGTATACAAATGTTCATAACATCTTTATAACAGCAAAACACTGGAAATAAGCTTGGCATGGTGGGGCAAGCCTGTAAACCCAGTATTCACAAGGCAAAGGCAGGAGGCCAGCATGGGCTACATAGAGAGCACACACTGATGATTTATTGGTCTGTCTTCCCACAGAAGGCTTTCTGAGTTTCTTCATTTATATTTATTTCAGTATACAGTATTAAGACATATAATTATTTAGAAATTTTCCTTCAAGACTTTCCTTCCTCAAATGTATCAGAAGGTTTTCTACATTTGACATACAATGTGAAGTATCACTGAAGGCACTAATATATCCTCTATATTCATTAAATTTCATTCCTATGCAAAATGCCACAACTTCCCAAGTATTCATCCTTTTAGTAACAGGCTTCTCTATGCTAATTATATTTACATATGCTAGGAGCATACTGACACTTGATGAGTTCAACATACTAATGTGGTTTGCCCCTGCATGAGTTTCCTTGTACATAGGGAGTTCAGATTCTATGCAAAGGATTATGTACTTTGACATATAGTTTGTACACATTACAATATTTTAATGAATTTTGACAAGAGGAAAGTTAATCCCAATTACTGAATCCAGTTTCTTCTCTCTTGTGTATGAGTTTGTTAGTACACATTGGGTGCATCAAAGAATTCAAAGACTAAGACTTTCTCTTACTGATTGCATTAATTGTTTGTCTCCTGTATCAATTCCCTGATGGACAATAAGACAGACAGTGTGCAGTAGAATTTATGTATACATAAAGGAAGTCTGTCTTATGTGAAATCCCTGGTGATGCACAAAACATATTTTCTTCCTAAGGACATGACCAGGTTTGATGCATTGTTAGGGTTTGTTTCTATTATGATTTTGCTGGTGTACAATGAGATTTCTCTTTGAAGAGAAGCCTTTTCCACATTCACTGCATATAAAGGGTTTCTCTCCTGTATGAGTTCGTCGATGAACTATTAGGCGGCTTTTGACAGTGAACCCTTTACCACAGTCATCACATGCATATGGTTTCTCCCCAGTATGAACTTGCTTATGCAAAATGAGCTCTGTTTCCACAGCAAAGCCTCTTCCACACTCATTACATATATAGGATTTCTCTCCTATATGAATTTGCTCATGTACGATAAGATAGCGTTTCATGGTAAAGCCTTTTCCACATTCATTACATACAAAGGGCTTCTCTCCAGTATGAGTACGCTGATGTACAACAAGATTGCTTTTAAAGGCAAACCCTTTCTCACATTTACTGCATACATAGGGCTTCTCTCCAGTATGAGTTCGCTGATGTAGCACCAGTCCACTATTCACAATGAAACCTTTCCCACATTCACTGCATTTGTAAGGTTTCTCTCCAGTATGAGTTCGCTGGTGTACAATCAGCCGACTCTTTAAGGGAAAGGCTTTTCCACATTCACTACAGATATAGGGTTTCTCTCCTGTGTGAGTGCGCTGGTGTATGATGAGCATGCTCCTTACAATGAAGCCCTTTCCACACTCACTACACAAATATGACTTCTCTACTGTATGATTTTTCTGATGTACAATGAGATTACTCTTCCTGGGAAATCCTTTTCCACATTCATTGCATACATAGGGTTTCTCCCCTGTATGAGTTCGTTGATGTTCAATTAGACGATTCTTCATGGTGAAACCTTTCCCACATTGATTGCATACATATGGTTTCTCTCCTGTGTGATTTCGTTGATGTATGATGACATAGTGCTTCGTGGTAAAGCCTTTCCCACATTCATTGCAGATATAGGGCTTCTCTCCTGTATGAGTTCGCTGATGTACAATAAGCATGCTTTTCCCAGCAAAGCTTTTTCCACACTCACTACATACATAGGACTTCTCTCCAGTATGATTCCGCTGATGGACAATAAGATTACGCTTGCCTGGGAAGCCTTTTCCACATTCATTGCATATGTAGGGTTTTTCTCCGGTGTGAGTTCGCTGATGTTCAATCAGACGGCTTTTCATGGTGAAGACTTTTCCACATTCATTGCATATAAAGGAGTTCTCTTTTTTATGAATTCTCTGATGTTCATTGAGCCTGGACTTTCTAGAGAATACTTTTCCACAGACAGTGCATCCATAAGGTTTCTCTCCTGTATGAACTCTCTCATGATCAGTGAGCTGAGACTTCTTGACAAAGGCTTTCCCACATTCACCACACACATGGGTTTTCTCTATTTCATGAGTTCTTTGATGCTTGAACACTTGAGTCTTATTGTTAATGGGTTTTCCACTCACAGGAAAATTAACTGAAGAGTGCAATTCTTCATACTTGCCATTCATAAATGATTTCATATCTTCCTTAAGTTTAGTAAAGTTCCTTATTTTATAGCTTTTGTTCTGGTTGACTAAACTTAAATTTGATTTCAAAGTTTTTGTACACAACCCAAACATATCATGATTTTTCCTGAGAGGGAAATGATGTTTGCTTTGAAGAACAGTATTTCCAAATAGACCATGTTCCATATTCAGCATTCTTTGATGTTTCAAGTGACCTTGAAGATCATTATCAACTTTGCCACTTTCTAGGAAAGAAGAAAACAATGAAACCTTTCAAAACTTGTGTAGAATAAAACTTAAAAATCATAGGTGTTAGCTGAGTGCCCATGGCTTATGCCTGTAACCCTAGTAACTCAGGAGGCAGAGATCAGAAGAATTGTGGTTTGAAGCCAGCCTTGGGCAAATAGTTCGCAAGACCACCTCTTGAAAAAATCCATCAAAAACCAGACCTGGGAAAATTCAGGTGGTAAAAGCACCCCCTTAGCAAGCATGAGGCCCTGAATACACACCCCAGTGCACCAAGAAAAACAAAACAAAACAAAAAAACCTCAGCAGTATTTTAAAATATGGCTTTTAGACTGAGGCTACAGATCAGTGATAGGATGCATTTCCTGCATATGTGAGGCCCTGGGTTCAGTGTCCAGCCTAAGAAAAAAAAACAAAAAAAAAGATTTTTTAGTGACAACAGTATGGTAACAGAATTAAAGCAACTTCATGTGTAATTATTCCTTATTTCTTTCTTTTGGCCATAGCAATATATAAACAACACGAAAGTTAAAAAAAAAGATAGTAAATAAATAAGGTTTGGCAGTTGCAAGGTTTGGTTTCTTTCTAAATAGGACCTTGCAAACATGTACACATGGTGAAACATAAAAACATAAAAGCAAGTCACTGTTTGCAAGTAAATGAAGGTTTGGGAGAACACTAATCTACAGACCTTGGGGAGACATCAGATTACAAGGATGGAAGAGATACTGGTCCAAAATGATGATGGCTATATTTCATCACTATACATTTATTAAATGTATCATGTGTACAAAGCACTCTACTAATGTTTGAGAATACAAAATATGCCTTATTTTCATGATCTCAAATTGTAGTTAGGGAAAACTGAGTAAAAAAAAAGGAAAAGAGGAAAGAAGGTAATTGGAGATAGTTAAATGTGGTTTGAAGGAACAATGGAGATGGAGATAGAGGAAATGAGGATAAATTTTTATAAAAAAAGATGAGGTTAAATAATGGCTTCAAAGGCAAAAGAGGTTAAAGAAAGTAATGATTCAAGGATTTTTTAACTATGTGATAGTCTGAGCTACTGATGATTTGGAAGCATTTTATAATAAGATGGGGAATAAAACCAAATCCAGAACATGTAGAATGAAGTATGCATTGTGAAACATAAATTTTGAAATTTTTTTTTAGATATTATGCACTAACATGAAGAATCTAGCTAGAGCTGGGTGCCAGTGGCTTATGCCTGTAATCCTAGCTACTTGGGAGGCAGAGATCAGGAGGATTGAGGTTCAAGGCCAGCCTGGGCAAACAGCTCTCAAGACCCCATCTCAAGAAAATGGGGCTGGTAGAAGAGCTCAAGTGGTAGACTGCCAGCCGAGAAAGCATGAGACCCTGAGTTCAAACCCCAGTACCATCCAAAAAAAAAAAAAACAGGACTGAGTCCAAAGAGAGGTGTGGCCTCTCCTACCTCTGGAATGTCCTGCCTCAAGGTAGTGTATATTTGCCTGGTGGTTTTTGGACTGGGTGATCTAACCATGTGAATTTTGGACTGTTCCATATAGCACTAGCTTCACAGGAACTAAAGACTACAGGTATGACTTCTGGGAGAGACTGAAAACCAAAGATTAGTCATGTGAGCAGTATATAATTAAGTCCTAATAAAACCTTAGTATACGGGTCGGGTGCCAGTGGCTCACACTAGCTACTTGGGAGGCAGACATGGGAAGGATCATGGTAAGAAGTCAGCCCAGACAAATACTTCGTGAGACCTTATCTCAAAAATACCTAACACAAAAAAGGGCTGGCTGAGTGGCTCAAGTGATAGAGTGCCTGCCTAGCAAGCATGAGGCCCTGAGTTCAAACTCCAATACTGCCAAAAAAAAAAAAAAACTTAGTACACAAATCTCTGATTGCCAATGTCTGTAATGTACTGTCACACATCATGGCTAGGAGATAATGCTATCTATGTGCCCAACAGGATAGAAGGACCAGAGCAGTGAATTTGGAACCCCCCTGTATACCCTATAACCCAAGAATTCCATTTCTAGGTGAATACTCAAGACAAATGAAAACATATGTACACGTGTATGTGCACACACACACACACACACACACACACACACATGGCACGTGAATGTTCACAGCAGCATGATTCATAAAAGCCAAAGAGTGGAAACATACCAAATGTCCATCGATAGATAAATAGATAAATAAAAGCTGACATAGCCACACAGTGGGCTATCATTTGGCAATAAATGAAGTACTGGCCCATGTTAAAACATGGAAAATAGCTGGGTGGTAGGCCACACCTATAATCTCAGCTCTTGGGAGACAGAGGTAGGAGAATGTAAGTTTGAGGCTGCCCTGGGCTACACAATGAGACCCTATCTCAAACAAACAAACAAACAAAAACCCCGAAAAACATTATAAATATATTAAATGGAAAAAAAAAGTCAGATAAAAAAAGATCACAAGCCAGGTGTTGTGGCTCACACCTGTAATCCTAGCTACTTGGGATGCTCAGATCAGGAGGACTGTGGTTCAAGGCCAGCCCTGGTAAAATGTTCATGAGACTCCACCTCCAAAATAATGAGAGCAAAAATAGAACAGACTGGAGGGGTGGCTCAATCTGTAGAGAGCCTGCTTTGAGAGTGAGAAGCCCTGAGTTCAAACCCAAGTTCCACCAAAAAAAAAAAAAAATTTATTTTATGATTCTATTTTTAGGACAGGTCCAGAACAAGAAAATTGGTAAAGCAGATTAGCCAGATGTGGTGGCATATGCCTGGAATCCCAGCTACTTGGAAAGAAGAGGCAAGAGGATCAAGGTCACCCCAGGAAAAATGAGAAAGACCATATCTCAAAAATAAAATACAAACAAAAGAGCTGGGGGCATAGCTGAAGTGGTAGAGTACTTGCCTCACAAGCCTGAGGCCCTGGGTTCAATGCCCAATACTGCAAAGGAAAAACAGAAAACAGGTAAGTGGTAGCCTAGGACTGGGGCTTGGGAAGAAATTGTTTTCTTTTTTTTTAGTGTGCCTACAAATCTTCCAAAATTGATTGGGGAAATGGTTACACAATTCTGTTAATATACTACAAAGTACTGAATTGTAAATGTTAAATTGGCCAATTATATGGTAAGTGAATGATCTCAACAAAGCTGTCAATAATAGATCATGAGTTCCAGGCTAGTCTGGGCTACATATCAAGACCGTGTCTCAAAAAACCTAAATAAATAATGTGGAAAAACAAATGACTTAGAGAAAAGAATACAATCCTAAAATCTAAGATGAGCTGAAGGAAAATCAATATAGCAAATGTATAAAGTAAGTAAACTGAGGCAGACATAGTTACAACCTGGTTTGGACTACAAGTGATATAGGATGCAAAATAGTCCTGTCTCATTAAACAGAAAACAACAGCAGAGAACTAAAAGAAGAGGATTCTCTGCCTACCTAGTAAGCACGAGGTCCTGGATTTAAACCCCAGAACAGAAGATTCTACTAAAGGAAAACCTAACTTTAAAATGGGATGGGAGAAAGGGTTTTTTTGTGGAGGGAAGATGATTCCTACTTCTCACCCAAGATCTGGAAGCTGCCACAGAGAAAAGAAAATGTAGTACTAACATATACATAGACATCAATTAGGCCTCATCTACAGAACAAAGAAAGTTTAATCATAAGAAAAAGAAATCCTTTAAGAATTAGGAAAGCAGCCCAGAAAATGGAAAATAAGACTACTTAAGAATGGGGAATGAGGCCTTCCCAATGGGGTGGGAAAGCATAAAACACGATGATGAATTCAAAGTTCTCTATATGGAGTGTGGTCTGAAAGGACAAACTTCAGTCCAGGAGGTGGAAGGAACAGGCAGACACTAGGACAGGGTATAAAGAAGGGGAAGATGATAGAATCCAAGGAGGAAGAAAATTAGGCAAACAAAGAACAGGATATAAAGCAAAATAAGCAGGGATCAGATTTCCAATGAGAAAAAAGAGGTATATTTCCCTCTAAGGACCTAAAAGTAGTGTTCTGAGACAGAGAGTGACCTTTGGAGGGTCTCTGTCCATGCCCTCAGATATCCACACAGCCGTCTCCAGCTGACTAGGATACTGCTCTGTGCTTATGCATCTTGCAGTTTCTTACTCACCAGGAAAAATTTGATTGTGCATTTCATCAGTTGTCCATGGTTCTTCTCCACGTTCCAACTTGGAGAGGGTTTCGGGCTTGCTGACGTGATACCCTGATTGTGAAAAATGAGAGAAAACTTGGGCACAGCAGCTGAGCGGAGATGTGTCAATACAAGAGGGGGTTATGTTTAAGGACGAGACAGTTTTCACATCTGTAAAGTAGAGGATTTTCCCTCAGGAGAGGGCACATTGCATCTTCCTGCTGGGAGCCAAGAATCTATCACTTGAAAACACTGCATAGAAGCAGCTGTTAAAGGAATAGCCACTGACTGGACATGCTCTGAAAAAACACAGGGCCACTCTCCTCATCCTCACCCACTGACACTAGGCTGCTATAGTTCTCCAGCATCACGTCCCGGTATAGGTCCTTCTGTGCAGGGCCCAGGAGCTGCCATTCCTCCCAGGTGAATGCCACAGACACATCTTCCAGGGTCAGCGAGTCCTGTAACAACACGATCCTGCTCAATACAAGTGTTTTTCTTTTATTGGTTCATTGGAACATAAAGGAAGTTTGTCACGATCATATTAACCATATAGATTGCATCTAGAAGACTATCATGTTTTTTAATACATTGTCATAGAACCAATCTCCAGAAACTTTGTAATTGTACAGTGAGCTATTTATTTAACATAGTGTTAGGTTTTATAACACATCACCATCAACTCCTCATTAAAAATAGGTTTTATGTATATTTTAGCATCTATTGACAAAGTGTTGAATGTTAGTGACATCCAGATACATGCTACACATTGCTAGACTCTTTAGACATTTAAGTGTTCAATGACTAAAGGAATAAAAAAACCAAAATACATACAAAGCATAAGTAACTGTTAAGGAGCAGGCAAGGTAGTGCATGCCTCTAATCCTGACACTTGGGAAGCTAAGGCAGGAGGATTGCAAATTCAAGGCCAGCCTGTGCTAAACAGTGAGACCCTGTCTCAAAATTCCCCCAAAAAAGAAAAGAAAGAGATTTTTTCACTGGAAAAAGAAACGCATTTACCTTAAGTTTTTGTACACACAGTATGTGCACACATATGAATATTTACACATATATTTGTGTATTTTGCAAGCACGTATAGGCATATATTCACAGAAATACAAATACTGAACTGGAATACACATTTTTAAAACAAACTGAAAAATGAAGACGAGACTCAAAGAAAATATGAAGGAGAGTTTAATAAATATGGAAGACAGAGAGGGCCTAGTGTCAGACTACACGGTTGTAAACGTGCAATTTAAAAGATCTAAGGAGTTAGAAATCTTCAGAACTCATTAAATACCCCGTGGCTCAGCATTAGTAAATCAGCAAAGCCAAGGCAGAAATCTGCATTTAGACACATCAGATGGGAACTACTGAATACCAGATGCAAATGTAAAATTGTGACAACTAGAAAGATATTACCACTGAAAGATAAAACTGGCTGACAGCTGGCTTCTCTACAAATAGAATATAATCCAGAAAAGTGTAGAATGGATTCTTCAATGTCATGATCCTGGAAAAAGCAGCCTGGGGAGTGAACTGAGACCTGCCTGTCAACTGAACTGCCCGTCTTAACATGGCTTGCAATAATATGGCAGTGGGAGTCTAAGGCACGGAAAATATAGGTGAAGCTGATGAGACAGTCTATCGTCATGTTATTGAAGATTACTACATAAAGAGGTCAGACTTGGTAGTGGTTGCAATTTTACTTGTTTGTTTGTTTGTTTATTGTGGTGCTGAGAATTGAGCCCAGGGTATCACACATGCTACATAAGCGTGCTGCCGCTGATCTATATTCCAAGTGCAAAGTGGCAATAATGTTCTCTCTCTCCCTCCCTCCCTCCCTCCCTTCCCTCCTCTCCCTGTATGCCCTCCATCCCTTTTTCCCTCCCTCCCTCCCTCCTTTTCTTCATCCGTTCCTTTTCTTCCTTTTTTTTTGGTGGTACCAGTGTTTGAACTCAGGGCTTTATACTTGCTAAGCAGGCACTCTACCACTTAAGCCAAATCTCCAGCCTTTTTGCTCTGGTTATTCTTGAGATAGGGTCTTACTTTTTGACCAGATGAGCTTGAATATGATCCTTCTAACTTATGCTTCCAGCCATTGATGGGATGACAGGCACATACCACCACACTCAGCTTTTTCCCACTTTGATAGAGAGTCTCACAAACTTTTTTGTCCTAGCTGGACTCAAATCATGATCCTACCAATCTCAGCCTCCCAAATAACTAGGATTACACTGCATGAGCAACTGGCACAAGCTTACAATTTCTTAATGATACTGATCTTATCATAGTCTGAGTTATTCACATGAAACTAATCCATTTGGAAAATGCACAAGCCAAAAACCATATAAAGGAAATAGTGTGACAAACTTTGTGAGAAGAAAATTAAAAATGCTTCCATTGGAAAAGATACCATAAATAAAGCTAAAAGAAAAGTGATAGGCTGGAAAAGTATTTGCAATAAACAAGAAAGAATACCAATATATGGTAGAAGATATGAAACAACTCCAATCAGCAGTAAGAAAAACAAGATTTTGGAGCCATGATGGAGGTATGGCTCAAGTGGTAGAGTCCTGAACAGGTAGCTGATTGCAAAAGCACGGGCTTTGCAATCATAAAGTCCTGAGTTTAAACCCCAGTCCCACCAAAAAAGAAAAATGAGATTTTAATGTAAAAATACATTCTCTTGTTTCACAAGAGAAAAAAAATCCAAATCACCAAAAAATACACGAAGAAGATTTCACCTTCCTGTGCAATAAGGAAAATGAAAAATAAGGCAAGAAAATTTTAGGACACTCAGTTAAAATTATGCAATTTGATAATGTCATTAAGATTGGAAGGCTTTTAAGGCATGGATGAACCCATATTTCACTTGCTTTGTGACATGTACTCATCTAAATGCTTTATGTATGTTAACTTTTATTTTTATTTTGGTGGGACTGGTGTTTGAAGTCAGGGCTTTACTGCTTGAGCCTCACCTCTGGTCCATTTTTCTCTGGTTATTTTGGAGATGGGGGTCTCATGAACTACTTGCTTGGGCTGGTCTTGAACTGTGATCCTCCTTATCTCTACATTAACTTTTTTAGTATGTCTACAGACAGACGGAATTTTATGTATAGTTAATATTCAATCAGTTGAAGCTATTATTCCTTTGTATTTGTAAAATATATCACCTTAGGCCAATAGGTTATGCTCTTTTGAATTTCATTGGTGAAAGAAAGTTAAACTTATGCTTAAGTACACAAATATGTACATAAACACACACACATTTGTAAATACATACATATGTAGATGTATACACCAGTTTAGTGACAGTTAAGCACACACTACCAAACATTTACTCAATCAGTATTAGGAAACTAGAAGGCAGTTGTGAAAAGACAATTTGCCTTTGTCTATGTGTACTTCATTGTTGAAATATTTTTAAATGTTATCTATGAATAATTTTTATAATTACAAAAAAAGGAAAAATTTGATGTGAAAATGGAGGGATTCTACATATTCTGAGATGAAGTTATAAAGTAGACACAAAGGAATTCAACAATTCAAGCCTTTTTCAGATGCTATCCCTTACAACTTCCAAATGCTAAATCTGTAAATGCCAGTTCAGCTACCTGTTCAGGACAGGTGAAAGCCCTACAATCCTCCCATTTTCTTAGGCCATGTAGGGTTTATTCTGAAATTTTTTGGTCTAGTACCACAGGCCTCTGAGGAACCTTGAAATAAACAGCAGTAGAAAATCTGTTTCTGGCTTTATAAGAATACTGTTGAAAACAGTGACCATCCCGTCACTTGTATGAAGAATATCAAATTTTTCCTACGACCTAAGTGGCATGAAATATTGATATCCCCCAAAGAACCTGTCTGATTATTCCTCACAGTCACTGAGTATCAAATGACTTAGCAGCATTCTCATGTCAAGTTGGCTGTTGGAGATATTGGATGCAGGGTAACGCTACCATTACCCACAAAATCCTCCATTCATACACAATTTCCAACACTAGTCACTTAGTGGGAATCCTCTCTCTCTCTCTCTGTCTGTCTTTCTCTCTGATGCTGCTGTGGATTGAACTCAGGGCTTCAGGCTTCATTGGCAAGTACTCTACCTGAGGCATGCCCCCAGTCTTAGGGGGAATCATATGAACACCATATTCCTGATCCTATCATGCCACAGTATTGGAGCTACATGTGAAGTTTATTTCTCTCTAGATGCTGAAATGATTTTTATATGCATTTACCAATTCAACAGCAAATATAGGAAAGAATAAAACAAGACAAAAGTCACCTGAACATTGATCATTTTCTTCTGTTTAAGGAAATGGTCAGCAAATGGAATACTCTTTTGTCTCTTGTGGATATGCCCTAGCATTCTTGTTAGAAATCTGTCACCTGTGAAGGGTGTCTCCAAAAATGATATTTAGGACCTGGAATCGACTCTTTCTTCATTTACTTCTTGTGTCTTCCCAGAGTACCCAAGACCTGTGAGCTAAAGAGCAAAGCAACTTTCAGGGGTAGGTACATTCTCTCTTGCTGTACACTCACCTTAACACATGGCACCCAATATTTTTGTTTCTATTTGGTACCCCAGAGGACTTCACAGTCCTTGGCTGTGTGGGAAGGATGCCTTTGTTCTGTGAAGCTTGGAATTAGTGTGAAAGCAAAAGAGGAGGTGGCAAAGGAGTCATGCCTCATTCAGTGGCGATTCTAAGGTTAATTTTAGAAATGAGGCCATATGGACAGTAAGAACTTTTCCATTAAGCTATATTACCTCATACCCCTTTAAAAGTTTTTACATACTGTTTTCATACACACTTCAATATAAAAAACAATGAGCAAGCGGAAAAAAGTAGAGGGGAAAATATGACCTACAAGTAAAATTTTAAAAAATAATTCAAAAATATAAATACTGGAATATCAGCCTTTATACAGACATGTAGATTAACATGTACAAATTTCATGTAATAAGAAATTAACGTACAAAGGAAATATTCAGTAAACTTGTCAGAAGAAGGATTAAAAACAGACTATTAAATAGAAAATTTCCCTTCTTCTCCCCCTAAATCTTAATTCTTGAGTATTCAAGAGAATGGGACCATGTTGGAACACAATGGATTAGAAAATTAGTAACAGAGGAGAGAGGTGAACTTGAAGTCTTTAGGGAGTGTTCACGTTACTCAAGTCGCTCCAGCAGCCAAGGTTCAGGTTCAACACTCACCAGCCAGGGCTCCTGGTCTTCAGCTTTCTCAAGTCTTTGCACAAAGGACAGTGACCACCTCCTTCCCCATCGGATTCATGACAAAAAACTGTACTAGACTCATTTCTACCGTAACTCTCTTAATGGTTCCTCGATCGCTGGGCCCCAAATTAATGCACCGCAAGAACAAGATGCCGCATTCCTTGACAAGCCACACCCCAACAGATGTCAACCACTGAGTCCTTCCTACATGCCGAGGGACCCGCGAAGCCCCCAACACCGACCTCAGGATTCTCGGTTGCTGGTCTGTTAAGGCTTTTAATCACTGACAACCAGAGCCCACCATGACTGCCCAGAAGGACACCCCTTTCAGATCCCCTACAACGTCCATCGACCAGAAACAGCAATCACCTGCTAGGTAGACGCCGGTAGAATGCTACCTCCGCGAGCCATTTCCACGGACGGGAATTCTCTCTCCCCAATCCGCAGATCTTTTTTAGGGTGGAACTTACTTTAAACTTTTTCCACCTCTCGCGGGGTCGCCCAGCCCCTGCTCCAGTAAATGCCCCCGGAGGACCTGCAGTGTTTCCATGGAGAATGGAATGTAGACTTCCGGCTTTTACTTATGACGTAATAAGCCCTCGCTACATGGCGACTTGGGGGGCGGCCATCTTTGAGCACAAACGTACAGGAGGAGGAGCCTTTGTTGCGGACACGCCTGTGGAAGGCCCCGGAAACCGTCCCATTTCCAGGTATCAAGGTAGTGGTGGAAAGTAGATTAGGGGCTCGAGCTTACACAAGGCAAACAGCATGTATGTAAATCCTTTTCCATGAACTGAGCACAAAAATAAGATAGTGGCCTTCTGGTCGTCGCCAGGCGCCTTGAATTTCAAAAGCTGGGACCGGTCACAGCCACAAAGGGGCCAATGTGCAGTTTTAGCAGCCATTACGGCTGTGATGTCTGAGTTCGGGCGGATATTTAAATGACTGGGCACCTCAGTCACTATTTTAAATGAGAACCCCGTATATAAAAAAAGTTTTAAAGTCTTGGAGGTATAGCTGAGTGTCGCTCTTGCCATTTCAAAGGCCTGGGTTCCATCCCCAGCACCGAAAAAATAAAAATAAAAAATAAATAAAATTCAGTGATCCAGTCCCTTACCTGAGATACTGGAATTGTCACTGCTTGCACCATTAACCTATACTATCTAGTCGCCAAGCAGGGAAGAAGATCCTTGTAAAACAAATCAAGCACCAAAATTTCCTATTTTCAGCTACCTATGACTATATTGTAGAATAAATCTTGAGTTTTGAGATGGCCTACTAGTTTGGGTGTTTAAAATACTTCTTAGGAATGAAGTCCCTGATCAGGATTTGTGTTGGAATAACAGACATCGCATGCCAAGTTTCCACGTCTTGTTCTGTAAACAGACTGATGGTTTCTTAGGATATCCGTAATGAATCAAGGGAATGACAAAATAGAGGCGAGAAAAACCCCATTCCCAAGAGAATAAGAATGAATGGTAAAGAAATGGAAAGTTAGCTAGACACAGTAACACGTGCCTGTAGTCCTAGCTGCTCAGGAGGCAGCTTGTGAAGGAAGAACTTGTGAAGAAGCACAAGTTCCAGGCCAGTCTGGGCTATATATTAAGACTCTCTCTCAAAAAAAAAGAAAACAAATATTATATGTACTAATTAAGCAGATCAGAGGATAGTGGGAATTTTGAAATGATGGCAACTCACTAACTAGTTAATGTAAAGGTTCTTCTCCTTGGGATGTGTTGTCATATCTCTATACTTTTCTCCACCCTAAACTGAGATTTTCATCCTTATTATTCTGAAGATGCTATTCTTTTTCTGCTGTCTCCCTTTAATATTTAGACAGATAATCTCAACACACATAAATATGGGAAAAAATGGTCTTCGGGACTATTCATTTCTTAGTATTGCCTTTCAGTGATCCAGTCCCTATAGTGATAATCATTTCTTTGTTCATCTTTCAAATCAATTATTTTCATTTTTATATGTCATCAGGAATATACAGTGGTATAAACCAGCACCATTCAACCCGTGGTGAAGAGATACTCTGTCTATACTGTTCAATATTTATATTACTCTCTATGACTACTGAAATGTGGACAGTTACCATTTTTCTAACTTCTTATGCTAAACACACATGCCTTGATCCGATTATTTCATGTCCATTTCTCCTAATGAAAAGTTTATATACACCGAGTAGGTTAAGTAGAGTGTAACGATACTACTTACCTACTACATTAATCTATCTAACTCAGTGCTCCTTCCAAGAGGGAAATGATAGCTCAGAAGTGGTGCACTTGGCTAGCATTTGTGAGGCTATGGAAATATCTGGCACTAAAAAAGACAAAAACAAATAAATAAAGTTCAGCCCCATACCCTCATCTCGTAGGATAATGCCAGGTATACAGGAGGTACTTCATCAACATTGAATAAACAATGTAAAGCTATTTCTTCATTGGTGCCTTGCATAATATAAAAACCTGAAAATTTGTGGTAGAAAACTTCTTTAGATAGTCCGTTGGAAATTGGATATATTAAATGTACCCAAAACTCGGCACACAAATAGTGCCTCTTTCCCACCAGCCAAATCCTAAAGTTCTTTGTTTCTAGAAACATTATCTCATCTTTTCTTAGTGAATATTTGATTTCATTTAGATGGTCTCTTTTTTTAAACTTTTTTTTTTTTTTGGCAGTGCTGGCATTTGAACACGGGACCTCACTCTTGCTAGGTAGGCATTCTTCTCTTGAGTCACTCCACCAGCCCTTTTTGTTTGATGGGTTTATTCAAGATAAGTTCTCATGGGCTGGCTTTGAACCCAGATCCTCCTGGTCTCTGCCTCTTGAGTAGCTACTATTAGAACAATGAGCCACCGGTGCTCATTGACAAAATTGAGAGATTGACAAAGTTGAGCCAATCAATGTGAATGGGTCCTGGGATTCGCATCACCTTATGTCTCTGTATCAATGCATATATTTCTATAGGATGAGTTACTGGGCTCTCTGCAGTCTCTGCAGTCATAGGACTTCTCTCAGTATATACTTACCACCTACATAATGAGATGGGTTTCTTTTCAATCTTTTTCTGTATTGAATATATCTGAGTTTCTTTTTCATGTTTTTCGAGACTTAAAATGTAACATAATTGATAACTGAAGGTACATTCATATTTGCTGCAATTATAAGTTTTTAACCCCTGGCAAATTTTTTGCAGTTTCCTAAGGGTGTACATTGAGCAGGAGGCTGCTCTAAAAGTACTATTTTTCTATTTGATTGGAGCTCAGTAATATTTAATGATATCTGAGGAGTTACAGAAGGCATTTCACAGTCATTGAATTAACAGGGTTTCATTTGTACGAAGGAGCTGTGACACACTGAAGGATTTTCTAACTTCACATAATCAACATATTTCTCCTTGCATGGATTTTCTTATTTTTAACAAGGCAAGACTTAGAGACACAAGCTTTCCCACACAAGGCATTCTCTATCTCTCTCCTGGATTGATTGATTGATTGAAGCAGTACTGGCACTTGAACTCAGAGCCTTGCACTTGCTAGGCCGGTGCTCTATCACTTGAGCCATTCCTGCATCCAGTTTCTTTACAATGAACTGTTTCTTTGTGACCAAAAAAAACAAAAGTTCCTACATTAAATAAAGTTATAAGATTTCTCTCCTGTGTGAATTTTCTGATGTTTAAAGAAACCTGAATTTGTGAACAGAATTTTCCACATTTACTAGAGTCTTTCTTGTGTAAAGTCTCTGAAGTTCTATCAGGTCTGTCTCCTGGATAAAACCTTTTTCTCTGACACTGTACATATAAGGTTTTCTGTATTGAGTTTACCAATATACAATAAAACTGATATTCTGCATGAGGCCTTTTCCACAATCAATGCATAACAGGTTTCTCTCCAGAATGAGTTTTGTGATGTAAAATGAAATGTGATTTAATGAGGCAGGCTTTGCCACATTCAGTGCTTTTATGGACTTTCCCCTTCTATTTTCTATCATGTATAGGGAGTTCTAAGTTCCCACAAAAGGCTTTGTCACATTCATAGGATTGCTCTCCTGTATGATTTCTGTGGTGTTAAGTGAGCCTGGACTTTGTGTATGCTTCCTAAAATACATTGCATCTATGGGTTTTCTCACATGGGCAAATTCTGTAATTTTTTTTTTTTGGTGGTGGTATTAGGGTTTGAATTCAGAGCCTCACACTTGCTAGGCAGGTGCTTTACCATTTGAACCACTCCACCAACTCTGTTTTGTGCTGGGTATTTTTGAGATAGGGTCTCTTGAACTGTTTGCCCAGGCTGGCTTCACCTGATCTCTACTTTCTGAGTAGCTAGGATTACAGGCTTGAGCCACTGGTGCCCAGCTCTCTAATTTGAGCTGAGACTTCTTAATGAATTCCCCATATTCACAGCATACATGAGGTTTCCCAATTTTGTGAGATTTCTGGTTAATGAATTAAGACATAAAACTTAATGGTTTTCCAATTAAGTTTGAGGAAATATAACATTAGTATGAATGTGTCCATGATTTCCATGGAGAAAGGCTTTCCATCTATACTACACTCACTGGAGTTCTTTATTTCACTGCTTTTGTTCTGGTTGATTAAATTTGATTTTACAATTTTTCCATGATATTGCCTTAAAAGAAAATCATGTTGGCCAGATGAACAATATTTGCAAAGGTATTATGTTCATGGCATTTTTTATTCTCTTCAGAAGTCTTCAGCTGTGCAAGCATATTTGCTGATGACCATTAGCTTTCCTGACTTCTAGGAAAGAAGAGAACATGAATGGCTAGGTAGGTTCTTTACAGTCAACAGTATGATCTGGGGATAAAGAATCTTCAATAATGTTCCTTATCCCTTGGACACTGCTAAAAACACAGTGCACACAAATTCAGCTGGCAAAAGAAGAACATATACAAGTAAGCTTAAGTAATTCACTATGAATAAACATAGGTTGGCTATTTTATAAATAGCACATTGCAAAACATGCAGCATACAAAATAAGAAAGTTGTTAGATGAGAAACATCCATATCCTGGTTCAAAATTACTGGTACATTGTTAATGTGTAAGTTCTTATTAGATGTGTAATATGTACTGGCCTTGGCAGTGGTGTTAAGAAATACAGATATTCATTATTCTTATTGAAATTTCATTCCAGTTGAGAAAACAAAATATGTAAGCAAGCAAAGAAAGCGAAGCAGTTTCAAATTATGAGACACAGATTGAGGAAGCACAGATTGAGGAGGCCGAAGGAATGAAGATATATTATGGAGTCAGACAAGGCTCACGGATGAGTTCAACACGGAGGGATAAAGAACTAAAATTTACTCACAAGTATCTCTGGTCTGAGTCAAGAGATAAGTGAAAACTGCCTTTGAAAAGATAAATGTTTTTGAGGTTCGAAATGGGGAAAGAAGTGGGCTTTTTGAACTGTATACGTATTTATATTTTTATTTGACATCCAAGTGTAATGGTACC